AGAATGTCTGAGGACCGTACCTTAGGTCAACCATAGAATTGAACCATTTCCTTCCGAACCCTAGGGAACCAAACATAGTGTTAATGACACATTTGGAGTAGTTTTATATTTCATGTCTCCTAAAAAAATACACCTCAATTCTTTTTAAAGCGCGTCCAAACAATTCTCTTTTCCTTTCAATTTACTCCATCCCTTTTACAAAACTATATTGCACGTATTTTTTTCGCACATAAAATACTTCTACCTCACTTAAAATATCTAAAAAAAATCTCAAAACAAAATCTACCCGCAAGAAACCACGTAATGAGGTATATTAAGACATTACATGTGGGAAACAAGTGTTATATGAAATACGCAAAAAATTAGAGCAATAGAGTATTGTGAAATGGAGAGAGTATTTTTCTGCAACTCGTAGTCTTTTTCTCTCATCTGCAACACTTACGATAATTTTTTTTTTTGAAAAAAAAATCATGTCAAATTACAAAATTCTAAGCGGCATTCGAAATTTCGAATTGTAGGCAAAAGTGCCCATCTTTAAAGAAACTAAGAAAGCCCAAATTTTTGCGTAGGTTCCCACTAAAAAAAGTGTCCTGGAAAGACAAATCAAAACCCAAAATTTAAAAACCAAAAGTTGCATAATGGCAAATGAAGTAAAAAGTCCAAAGTAGAAAATTTAAGAAAGCCCAAATTTATGCCTATTTTCCCATCAAAAGTGCCCTGGAAAGTGGAAAGACAACCCCCAAAATTTAAAAGTTAAAACCAAAAGGTGTCTATGCCAACAAAAACAAAACCCAAACCAAAAAAAGAAAAGTCAAGGCAATAGTGGAAAAACCAACAATGTGTGCAAGTTAGCAAAACTTTACACCAAAAATTCAACAAAGTTTATCCCTCAAATCACCTCTAAACTATGTGTCTAGCGTTTGTGTGATCATTACAATATATACTCTCTTCTTAAGAAATAACTTTATAATTTGGCTTTTGAGTCTTTTACACCAAATAAGTTAAAGAGAACCTATAATGTTACACCACTTCAACAGTATAACATCATGATACCAGTAGTTCTCGAGTACTAATGGTGTTCTGTTCGTAAAATTGATGGTCTCTAGCTCTCTACCCATCAATTTTGCCCCCGACCCCAATCTCTTCCTCCAGATCACCGATTTGGGGCCCCAAATCGGCGATCTAGAGGAAGAGAGGGGGGTGGGGTGGGGTGGGGTGGGGTGGGGTGAAATTTATGGGTCGGGGATTTAGGAGATAAGAACCATTAATTTTATGGATGGAGCACTGTAGGCGCCCCAAAACCACTGGTGTCACGAAATGATGTTATTTTTGCTGGCGTGACATTACAAATTCCCTAGGTTAAATTATGTTAATTGTAACTTCCTTATGTAGAGTTTTATACAAACTTACCTAAACCAATTTCATTAAACCCGGCATTACAAACTCATTAATTATAAACAACAATAAATCCGCTAATACTCCATCTCAAGTTGGACATGAAAATCATAAATGTCCAATTTAGACAATAAATGAGAAAGAGTTGGACTAGATAAAAAAGTTTTAATTTGAGAAATGAGATGCTCCACATTAAGGTGAATTCTGGATATTTTTGTTATTAATGTTATTTCCAAAAGTGGGAGTGAAAAGATAATTATATAATATGACAATATTCCACAATAAATTTTATTTTATTTAACCAATCAAGTCTAGGATTTCACGCCAAAAAAATTAAAATATATAGCGATATGACTATGTAAGAATTACTATGAAAATATGTAATGATAGAATAATATAAAAGTGGTAATTGTGTTTTGAACTTTCCACATTGTATTAGTTTTTTTGTTTTGAAAAGTGTTAAGTTATTTGTACAATATTTTTGATATGATATTTGACATCATCCTTCTTGCAAATATTACAGACTCTATTTTGTGTCTGAATGTTTAGTACTCTCTTCGTCTAAAATTAAATTACATATTTACTATTCACGGGATCAAATTTCATTCACTTTCTTTCCCAATTTTTGTTAGTTATTTGATAAAATAGTATAGTCATGTCACCACTAGTTTTGTAGATCTTTTGATTTAGTTTTAGAATATGTAATTTTTTTAAAGAATTAAATATGTAATTTTGGTTTTTTAATTGCACGCCGTTTTTCATATAAAATCATTTGAAAATAAGTTCAGTCAAATATCGTAAACAGAAACATGCGATTTAAATTGGGACGAAGGGAGTACGATAAAAGCGATAATGTGAAATTTGGTGTATCCTAAACATGTTTTTTTTTGGAATTGGAACTTTGTAGTCTTTTTTCAGCCTTTATTTTAGTCATGGACAAGAGTGACTTGAATGTTGAAGAAGAGATGGGTTATATTGACCCTTCAGTTGGAGTGCAAAAATCCGAGTTGGTTTTGAATCACTAGAATGGGTTTATGGATTAAATTTTACTATTTTAGAATAAGTGCTTGAGAAGATGAGTGACAAAGTATTGGATGAACTCCTTGCCTTAGAATGCATTACTACCGATGAAGCGTTGGCAGCAGCAGAAGTCCTTTTAGCCCAACCTCATAAGCTCACACTTTTCTTCAAGTGCTCTAGTGCTTTGAGAACGAGATATGTCAAAGGTCTTCTAGGTGAAAGTCAAGGAGGAAGGAAGGCCATAGGTGCTTGTATTGGTGTCTTTATTTTGGACGATATTGTTTTGTTCATGACAATTGGTTTTTTTTGTCCTTGTATTGTTGACATTGTTCTGTTTTTGAAGTTTTAGATGGGTAATGTTTTTTTGAAATGATCGTATCATCTTGAAAGTATGTTGTGATATGTGAATTTTGTTTAATTGTATCTTTGATAAAATTAATAAGTATTATTTTTAACAAATTGATCATAGCTGTGTAAAAAAATTTGATTCCCCTGTTTTGAACCAAACACGAACAAAGGGAATTCTATTCCCTTTTCTGTACTGGACCAAACAGACACAGTAATTCAGGGGTAATCATTCCCTTTCTCCCTGATTCCCTTTCCTGTTTCCTTTCCCTTTCCTCAGCATGAACCAAACGCCTCCTAAATATACGAACTTAGGGAATATACACTATATATCAAATCTTAAAACTGAATTTCCAGTTTTAAACCAGACCAACAAAAAAAACTAATACAACACTCCAACCGGGTCTGGACCAGTGTGCTTCCATTCCAGTTTTCTAGTTCTGATCTATTCTCGTCCCGGTTTGGACCGGTCAGCAGCCCTAGAAGCTTAGGAATAAGACACAAATTGCCCCACAAATAATTATGTGGAAGCATGTTGGCCTAATGTCAATGAAATCACCTCAAATTTCTTCACATCCAAGTCGCATCCATGCACATTATAAGATTGAAAAAATACTACACTGATGAAAATAAGAGTTGCTAAAAAATAATTTTGGTAATTCTGACATGTAAAATGAGATGCAACGAGTATATGCGACGCTTTCCATACCTACCCTCCACTCCCAATTTAAATTTATTTTTTTGGTCTATCGCAGAATAATTGTACACGCTTTTACACATCCTTTTTCAAGAACAAAATATACTCCGTATTACTCTTAACAACTCCCTCTCTTCCAAACAAATAAAGGAAAATTATCTCAAATAAACTCACCCTTTCACGTTTTTTAAAAATAATTTCACTTTTCATTTTCACAGAAAATAATCCAATCTTTCTTCAGGGGTGCGAGTTTGGAGTCGTCGTTAAGATGCCACCAGTTATTTAATGAAAATGCATATTTTTGCAAATAAACTCTCTTTTTTTGTTTTTTTAATTTCTAACTTTAAATTAAATTTATTTTTTAAATAATTTTTTTATAAAAAATACCAAATTTAAGTAATTTTTAAAATGACACTAATTATCTTTTTCAATAACCGATAATTTAATAATAATTAATTTTTCCAAAATAATATTAAAAAAATAGTGAAATTGCATAATAAATTATTCTACACAACGGAACTAATTTATCGCCTACTTTTTCTAAAATGTTGCTTCAAAACTTGTGTTTTTTTCAATAATTTAGTACATTTTTCTCTCCAAAATAACAATTCAAAAGTTGTAAAAATGACACTATTTTTTTGCTCCAAAATGGCACTAAGCATTTTTATAACTCAATACAACTTTTTTGTATTGTTATTTCTTTTTCGAGCATACTCTAACTAATTTTTTAATAATTCAATATTATATTTTTCCCTAGAACAAAATACAAAATTTGTAAAGCGTTATATATTTTAAAAAAATTGAGACAACTCTCTAACAAGAATGTGCTTTTATACTTATAAAACATAAATTTAAAATTTAAAAAACAATGAAAAGAAACAAATTTGTCTAAAATAATCTCATCTTTTATTTATTTATGAAAAACAAACATTTTTCAAAAAATCTATCAAGTGGCCATCAACTTCTTAAGTGTGATCCAAAACTCACACATATATGAAAAGATAGGATTACTTTTCTTGATAGTGAAAAGTGAGATATTTTTGAAACAATAAGATTATTTAAGATAATTTTTCCAACAAATTATAACCATACTTTTTAAGTTTTGACATCTTTAAAAAATAAAAAAAGCCATGACGTCGAAACGTGAATTTAATTCGAGAACGGAGGGAGTATAGGGAAAATTGCATGTAGTCCACATACAAATATACAATGGCCACAATGTAGTCCATGCCCAACACTGCCAAATGATTTGCTTATGAAAAAAAATGACAAAAAACTTATCAAAAGTGTTAAGAGCATTCAAATCTATAACGGCATCCAATAGTAGAAGCATGTTGACGTAGTGTCAAGGAAGCCATCGCAAGCTTCTCCACCTTTAATGTTTGAGCCCCACATTTGCGCTTAAGAGGCTGAGATATTAAGATTAAAGAGATACTACACTGACGGATCTAAGAGCTATTCAAATAATAATAATAACGGAAACCGATACTCCAATAGAAGTTTTAGGAAATAAAATACTACTGTATTATTTTTTTCTATTCAAATTAAGATTCTCCATTTATTCTTTATAAATACTGACGTAATTCTCATAGTTCAATAAAACCGGTTATTATTAAATTGTATCAGCAACAAAAGTACTAAAATCAAAATGCATATCACATTTGAAATGAAGTTATGTACAATCATCTATGGAATCATTGGCTACTTGTTGAGAAACAGCATCATCCTGCGAATGCAAATGCAGAAGAGCAATGGGTCACAAAGGGTATTATGACAGCTTAAACCATCAAAGATTTAATTAAAATGGAAACCATGACGATGATGATGAATGATGATGATGAATGATGATGAATGATGATGATGATGATGATGATGATGAGGAAGTAAAAGGGTATATAGGTATTTGGCATACCAGAGAGAGGAGACCCAGAGCTTCGGCCACACCTCTATCAGAATTTTCACCACAAATTCCTCGGAACGTGTTCATTAGAAATTTCCTTTGGTCTACATTTAAGTGCTTTTGAAGGCCTCGACCAACCATTTCCATCTCAGCCTGAGCATACAAATCAAGAACAAAAAATATTGCTCCATCCATCCCTTGGTTCCAAAAAATAGTCTCATTTCATCGAGATACAACTTTTTTATATACATTATGTTTCCTAACTCGCGTTGGACTAATTCTAAACCTCTAGGACCCCAACCCAAGAACCTTAAACAAGGTAAATCTGGACTATCTCATCCCTCATATTCCTACGTACTGATTGGTTTGCTGGACTCGGCATCAGGTTCCTACTTCCTAGTCACGTTACCAGTAGATCCAAGCTCCCAGACGGTTTGGGTCATTTTTTGGGGAAACCATTTAATTAAAAAAAAAAAAAAGCTCCGTGAGGTGGAGTCTTAGGAAGCCTTGTTTTATCCCCTTCCTCTGCTTGTTTCCTGTTTAGAAGGAGCTATATGGATGAAGGTTGCAGCTCTTTCTATAGAATAGTAGATAGATATTGTATACTGAAAGATTTTAGGCAAAGTGGAGATTAGTTGTACTCTTCTTTATTACCCAAACTAATAAAGTTCTTATCCCATCGCATCACATTTAATTCTTTTTTTGTCATGATGCACTACCAATAAGCTAATAAAAACTACTTGCTTCTAACTTTCTATGAAGGTTTAGGTAGTGAGTGCAACAAGGGTCAAACAGAAAAAATCAGTCTGTTTTCCAATGTAAGGTTGCGTACATCTTGACCCCTGGTCCCCCGACACCCCAACAAAGTTGGGATTTTACCAGACTTCTTGTTCATGTAAAAAATGAAGTGCAAAGAAAAAATATTTAAAAAGAAAAGTCGAATTTGCAATGCCACATAGAACTTGGTAAATTTCAAAGTGAAGTGATAGTTAAAGTAGAAGATGCTAATCTACTGTGGGTAGAACAGAGAGAAAGAGACTACTACATGAAAGAGGGGAGCTGGCTAACTTGACAGAATATCATAATTGAGTGAATAATTAACCATTTTTAATAGCTTTAGCTGGACACCTAGTTCCTACATCAATGATGGGGGTGAGGGCGGGGGGTATGCATGACTAAGTCATAAATGAATTAGCACCCTTAGTGACCAAAAAAACTATTTTGATGTTTGAATCCACTACATACCGAGCACTCCTCAGGGGGGAATATCTTGTGAATGAAACATATTTTTCTAAGTTCATCAACAGCTCCTACATGTTTGCTCTGCATTTCAAGGGCCTGAAATTTTGTGAGCAGATGTGGGTGAAATTCTAGTTACATCAGTCAAATAGTCACATGTAATAATTAATAATCTCGTCATTGTTCTACAATACTCTAAAAGTGCACATGATGAATAAGTGCTTGTGTGCTAGTTTGAGATATTGACAAGTTGGAGAATTATTGCGGCTTTAAGAAATTTAAAGAGCTTAGAATTGGAGGCATATAGCCATAGACACTAGGCCTCAATTGGATTAAGTATTTAATCTGAAAACTGAATTACTAGGAATTGGATTACTGAAATGTCATAAAATCATGTATGGGATGATAGTGAATGCACCCCGCATATGGTGGAGACATTACATGCATCCAATTCTAGAAGTTGAAGACTCACATGAATTAGTGAACTCCTGGGTTATATGAACAGTTGGACACAAACGTGGGAATTAAACACAATTTCCAGGAATTAACTTTTACTCAGGAATCAAAACCCAAATTCAAAACAAACCTAAACTCCTAATCTTACGAATTATTGCATATAAGCATTCTACTGATCTTAAAGCAGATAGCTTACCCATGCCTGCAAAAGCCTGGACCTAGTACGTGCAGCAACAGCCGCAGATACCATTCTTGCAGCTCTAGTGTTCTCAATGTCAATATTATCTGCAAGTCCTGCAATGAACTTCTGCACATCTTCACCATTAATGTGAATAGGTCCCAGTTGATTCACTGTACTGCAGATTTTTGAAGTTACTATAATTCTAGAAATTGCACATACAAAAAAAATGCATTCAAGTGTTGAAGGCATATGCGAAAACTGATACTGTACCTTTCACAGAAGTTCAGAACATAATCAACAGATGTACGATAGAGAGAATCTCGAGCATGTTCAGTGGAAAAAGAGACCCTCACTTTAGATGCTTTGCATATTTGTCGTAACTGTTGGTGTAAAATGAAAAAAAAACAGAAATTAACTGCAATTGTCATACAATAAATCAGGAATTTTAAGAAATTGATGCAATCTTAGAGAAACTTGTTATCTTTAAACTTGCTAATAGTTCAATGGCGAAATATGGATCCCATGTTTTGGGGTGCTTAATGTGGTACTCTCTGCTTATGTTTTCCTTATTCCACCCAAATTCAAAGTCTAATTGGAATGAAACACTGAATACGAGCTGAAAGAGGCAATATGTCTGTGTTCTTGAAAATGCTTTGCGTCGTTTGTGAGCCTTGTACTTGCATGTTTAAAAAAACATCAGTTAAGATTTATACTTACAATCAAGACATCATTTTTGCTATAAGCGAAATGAATTGCAACATTTTATTTCCAAGGAATAGGAACAATATTATCATTTTCCACCTCCATATATTTTCTACATTGCCTAGCTTCACTTTACTAAGACCATTAACTTTCTATTATTTTATAAGTTATACACTTTTACTCACAGAAAACACCTTAACATCAACATCTTAACATCAATATGGTCGCTACAACTTTAAATTAAGCTAAGAATATACCGAACTTGTGCAGTTGCATATCTTCAACAAGCACACCAACAGAAATAGCAAGACAAAAGAATTAGTTGTCCCAGTTTACACCTAAAATTATATACAAAATGATATAAATGATCGAGGCCAATAAATACTAACTTGAATAATATCATTCTCCAAAACATCCCTTCCGCTCATTCTATTGTCCAATATGGCTGGAAATCAAATTGTAAGCTGTAGTTTAACAAATAAAGCAATATCATAGTATTGACTGAAGCTTCTGAAGATACAACTCATATATATTTAAAACAAAATATCCCTTTTGAGCTTCACAAACAGAAAAAGAAGTCTTAAAGTAAATTGTCTACGCTTATTAATGATCAAGTGATCATCATTCTTAATTTTATTTTTTGAAAAGTTTGATGACATGGAGGAACTGGGTAACTACAAATGTTGCAACATATTTTTCTGAATCTTCTGGGTCTGAAGAACATGCTACAAGGGGAATACGGGATATTATCTCATGGAAGTAAGGCTTAGTTATTGCTAATGATATTTAGGTTTTGTGATAACAAAACATTAATATAAGTGCTTTGGTTTTCCATAAAAACATTAACAGTAGTCTACTGCTTTCTATTAAAAATCAAAAGTCTCATGATCTATGATTCCTTGGTGGCAAAGGCTAATTAGTACTTGGTAGAACACATATTTTGTGTTTTCTTCCCAGTTCTTCAAAGAGTTAGATACCAGCAGTAGAATTGACACTTGAAAAAGAACTCAACTAAAGGACTAAAGGTCCAAAATAGGCATCAAAGTATCCAACCACAGATGGTGTGATGGATACAAAATGGAAGCCAGATACCAAGAGTGAAAGATAGCTTACATGTGATCATGAAAATTGTTGTAGATCTATGATGATCCAAAAAGTGATCACAGTCTTAATTGCAAATAGGGGAAGGTGTTTGAATTTCTAATTAGGTTGAGATTTGGTGGAGATCCGGAACTTGCTGTTTTGGGATTTATTTGAGATCCTGAAACTCCTTGTCTATTTGATAAATTTCTGCTTGTATTTTTCCACAGCAAACCTCCCTTACATAGAGTACAGAAATTTCAACCCAACACTATGCCGCCACTAAATAAGTACAGTCCCAAACTACTACAGAAACTAAACCACTAATCCATAAACTAAGATATTCTGCCATGGTATAGAAACTAAATCCAAATTAATCAAATGATAGTACTTCTCAATCACGCAACAAACATGTTAGTGGATTTATAATGAATATATGTTCATAAGCTTTCAAACCAAATAATGTTGAGGTTGAGTTGGATGATTAAAAATGGAAACCTCGATAATTAAGCTGGGCATCAGCTTGTTTAGTTTTGTGAACTAACAACAAACAATTAGTTTAATGTCCACTCTACATAATAAATACTTCCACCGTTCCAAACTAATTGCCATGATCAAAACTTTGCACTATCCACAAACCCTCATTTGACCATCTTTTGTGATCGATACATAAGTAAAAATATAGTCATCTGGGATCTTATTAGATTCATCTTGATAAAAGCTTCATTAATATCATTTTTTATAATTTTTACTAAAACACTGTTGAAGGTATTAATGGTTTAATTTTTGCATTGAAAAGCAAGAAAAAGCAAGTGTTGCATTTATTTTGGAATGGAGGAAGTGCATTATACATTCATACATACACACATACACAAAACAGCTCCAATTGGAACACTAATGGTGCCCCATTTGCAAAATTGATGGTTCCTACCCCGCTAAACCCTCATGCCCCCACCGCAGCCCCCAGATCGCCGATTGGCTTCAGGATCTTCTTTTAGCCAATCAGCAATCCAACAGGGGGGGGACCATCATTTTTGCGAACTGGCATCATAAGTTCCCAAAAAGGTATTAGCACTGCAGTGTCAACTGTTAACCGAGGCCAGTGTCCTTTGAACCATGTCGTTACAATATTTATTCATGAAATGGACATGATGGGGGGGAACCATCAATTTTGCGAACTGGGATCATAAGTTCCCAAAAAGGTATTAGCACCGCAGTGTCAACTGTTAACCGAGGCCAGTGTCCTTTGAACAATGTCCGAATGTCATTATAATATTTATTCATGAAATGGAAATGATAATAACTAACTTAAAGCTCAACTCACTAGCGGCTTATGGTTTTCTCCACATATGTTAAATGAATCTATGTTGATGATGGACAAATCGTAAGAGGATTGAAACATAGGCATCTGATGCAAAACATTGCAACTATGTTTTTTGCATAGAGTTAACTGTTAAGTAATTTTAAATGTCATTGGAAATTTAATAATTCATATTAAAGTATTAATGATGATGATACTAACACATTCAACAATCTAAAATATTGACCACATATATAATTAAGTTTAAGACCAATAATTCAAAAACATGCAGAGGTTTCAAAGATCTTTCTGGTCTACTATCATTCAAGTTGGAGTAAACAAACCTTTAGTCTTAGAGGTGAAAACATACAACAACAAATTTAGTGTAATCCCAGCTCTTTCAGGGTCTTTTAAGGTTGAAGGTCAAAATGAATGCAACTTTACCACGTAAGAAAACATAGATGTTGTTTCTATCAGACCCTTGGTGCATTTACTACCCAAAACATCATGGAGTAGAAAGTAAGAAGCAAATGAAGTTTAATGTGTGGTTTTAATTGGTACAGTAGTTACCTAAAGCTAAAACTTTGTCAATAATGATTCTTTAAGCTTCATTGGAAATGGACAGACCTCATCGCCAGAACACTCAGGGAGCTCTTTTTTCTTTGAGTGGGGGGGGGATGTAAGTTACTCCTAATTTAGTTTAACACTTGTATGGTACATCTATGAACTTAAAGTTGTGATACTTCCAATTCATGGTTTGGCAATGTAGTATGATCTTGTAAATACTGTAAATATTAAAAGCGCCTTTTTAAAAATAAATAAAAATACAATATTATAACACAAAGTTTCACTGTGATACCTTATGTATGAATCTCACATGTGTCTACATATACGCTCACTAGTGATCACCTATCTTAATCGGGCAAATGAACCGAAGTCACACAATCAATTTGATGTTTGAAACAATAAACATTTCAAAGAAGTAAAGGGAATGCTTACAAACCTTGAACCAATTTATTGGCAATTCTCTGATTCTCCTCCTGATACTCCATCGGTCCTTGGCAGGAATCAGTGATGGCCGGCCACCATTTGGGCAATCTTGTCACAGAACTACTTCTTTTAGATGACCTCTTACCTCTAACCTGGTCTAAAGAACCCAATATTTCATTGCCCTCGGCATCAATACTCCGAAGCATGTTAACTCTATTGGTGTAAGTCCTAACATCAGTTCCCTCCCTCTTTGCAACCAAGACTTCTCTTCCAGATAGACTCCGATCCCTTTTGTACACCAATTGGACATTGCCTGCTGAGTGATTTTTTCGAAACCCTAAAGCTACTAATTTACTTAAACCCCTAATAGTGAAATGAATAATGATACTGGAAAGGAATATAGTGCCTAGGAATTGAACCGTGGACCTGCTGCAGGATACCACCACCTCCCCGGTCCAATCATCAACCAGAACAAGAGTCTGCAGGTCCTCCACCGCCTTGCGGCCAGAGCCAAGGAATTCGCCGAGCTTGGACTCAATAACATCCCTGAAGCGGTGGAGGGGCCGGGTAGGTACGCTGAGGACTGCCGGGGTTAACTTGAGGCTTTTACCGGACGGCGAAGAGGAGGGGCCGAGTCCGGTTGAGTAATCGGGAAAGAATTTATGGAGGAGGCGACGGCGGTGGTGGCGACGACGGGGAGATGATGGAGAGAAACGATAGGGTGGAGGCTTGTTGTTGTGACGGCGGTGGAAGACATAGAACCGCCGGCGTTCTGGCTGGTTACCGGGATGGTAAACAGAGGGGAAATGGAAGGGGCAGTTCATGGAAGCTAGCAGATACTCCGTCACTTGTCTTTGGATCTTTTGGCAGAGATTTTTACCAGAGGTAGAGAATGGGCAATAATGTCTGGAATGCCACACCCTGACGTGAGTTACATCCAATTGTATTTCCTTTAGGTACATTCTAGTATTTTTGTAAATTTTGCAATCTTTTTATCCAATGCTTAGAACATATATATGAGAACTATTATATATGACAATGAGTACCAGTAGATTTGAGGAGTACCAGCACTTATGAGAATTATCATATTCTTATTCAATACAAACATGAATAAACCTGGGTTTTAAATTCTCCATTCTCAGAGAGTATAAATGAGTAGGAACGAATCGAATAGAGGAAGAAGTTGATGATGGTACTGAACTTTTTAATTGTGAAAAAATTGAACAATACTTTATTTCAGAATGAACATTTCCCGCTGTCTCACATGTCCAAACCATCTCAACCTCGCTTCCCGCAACTTACTCAAAAAAATTAACAGATTTTTTTCTTTAAAAAAAGAAAAGAAAAAAAAGGGTGCAAGATTGCGACGCTTGTGACTCGCAAAGAGGAGTGTCATGCTCTATCCACGCATGGCAATCGTGTCCTCCATGGTGATTTGGCAGCAAGGCATGAGAGGCTACACGTCGTTGCTCATGCTCTTAGCTAGTCCGTTACAAGTACTTATTTTAATATATTTATTATAATTATAATATTTATTTATGAATAACATAGTTTTCATTCTGTAACAAAGTAATGCTCATTTTCAAATAACATATTGTTCATTCTTAAGTAATGTACCATTCATTTCCATTCCATCTAGATTTAGAAAATATAATGTAATAGTCTAATTAAACTTACCGTCTGCCAGTCATCATCTTCATCCACTATCGACGCAGTCGCGGTTACTCTCTTTGTTCTTCAATCGACGCAACTAGAGTTTATCGTCAGCGTGCTCCTTCGTTTTGTAGTACTATTTTATATACTCCCAAAGTAATTTTTTATGGGATTCTGAAGTAATTTTTTATTATGTAAATTATACATTTTATTTCTTAATCAATTTATAAACAATATAAATTAAAGAAATTGAATTTTTCTATTATTCAAAACAAGAAAATAATTTAAAAAAGAAATATGTTTATAGTAAAAGCACCGGAAATACTCATGAAGTCTTGGGGCATCAAAATTTTTCGGAAGAAAGACTAAAATAGGACTAAAACATTCAAAATATACCAAAATAGGACTTCAATGTTTTTTTCTCAAAATAGGACTTACATTACCAAGCATGGTCATGTACATTACCAAAAAAGTATAGTAATGTGCACATATACAGTGCCACATTACCACAATGCAAAATCCTATTTCGGGGAAAAAACATGAAAGTCCTACTTTGGTACTTTTCATTTATGTGTTAGTCCTATTTATGGTGATTTCTAAAATTTTTCTCTATGTCACATCAGCTTTAACTTACGTCAGAGTTTCGTTAGAATTAGGTTTGGAGCCACGGGGTTTCAAATTGGGGCTTCAAACATGTTTTTATTTTGAATACATATTTTGTAAAATTCAATTAATAAGATTTCTTTAATTAATTGAATTTACATGATAATAATTAATCAAATAAAACAATTACATTCAATAAAAAATTACATTAATAAAATAAAATCTGAATAATAACAATATTAATAAAAAAATTAAAAAATGACATTACATTACGAAGAAATTACTAATTATTTGAGCAACTAAAAATATGGTCAATCAAATATACCATTAGTGCATTGTGAATCTCTTAGCTTCGAATTTCTTGGTGGCTTTTTCGTTTCTTTTCTACATTGATTTCTTCGTACGTAGGCATCTCCTCGTCCAGGTTGTAATGACAAATGACAAACTTGTTGTCCTCTATAATCATATTATGAAGAATAATACATGCCTACATGATATTCCTCATATTCGTTTGAAAAATAACACTTGGACGGACGATTTAAAATGTCTCACTTACCCTTCAACATCCTGAAGGCACATTCAATATATTTTCTCGCTGCCTCATTAGTATTTTTGTAGGTCTGACATTTAAGAGTCATTGGTTTGAAGAGAGACTTGAAGATAGTGAAATAATCTAGATATATTGCATCGGCATGTATGCATAAAAACAAAGAACGGTTCATCCGAAAATGAATACTAAAATCCTCTGTTGTGTAAACACACGAAGTATTGAAGTAGTCGTTGAGCAGTGGGTTCGTGTGCAGCCACCCGATCACAGTTTAAACGCTCACGTTGGGTCGAGCATTGTGACGGTTCTGCTTCCTCTTGTTGGCCTTGATGCCACCATTGGTAACAACCCATCGTGAAACAATGAAAAATGAGAGCTCTTCTTTCATCGTCAGATGAAGATGATCCCATTTTTAGAGTGTAGGGTTTTGTAGAAAGAATTAAAAGAAATAGAATATATTTGGATGAATTATAGAGAGAATGAGAATATGTTCCGTGTGTTTAGAACAAGGAGTATTTATTGTATTAAAAAAATTTCTAATTTTGCCCAACGGCCATAATTTGGACCGTTGGGAGGGGGGGTGGGGGGGACAACCGCTTGGCAGTAGCACACAGCTGCATCAAAGGTGTAACTTAACACAAGTAGGGCTGGTCCTGAGAATTCATATGCCTGGGCCGAAACAGAAAAAAGTACCTAAAAATCTTATCCCTAATGATCTAACAAATTAACATATGTAAACTAATTATATTTAAATGATAATTAACATAATATTATTAGAAAAAAAATGACAAAATTATAGTATTATAATTACATACCATAAAAGCTAGCCGAGGATTCGAGAAGTTCTCCTTGCATTCTTGAGAGCAAATTGGTTGATCACATCTTCGCAGTCTATACTCTCTAAGATTTCATTCTCGATAGCTATTACTGCCAATCTGCTAAGTCTTTCTTGAGACATTGTAGACCGTAAATAAGATTTCAGAAGCTTCAATTTGGAAAAACTTCTCTCTGCATATGCAACCGTTACCGGAACAGTCAACAAAATTCTATATGCAATGCAGGCAATCTGGTAACAACCAATTCAAGTTCTTTTAAATGCTTCAAAACATCTATATGGTTGCTAAGTTCACTGGTTTGTAATGTGTTAAATAATTTCAATCTCATGTAAAGCTCTTCATAAACAATATCCAGTCTTTCTTCAAACTTGAGTGCAATTTTTCAACTTTTCTTTTTATTTTTTTCTTTTTCAGTTTTAATTTTTTTATAAATCATAAATTTATATCAATTCGTCAATTTTTCAGTTTTTAATTTTTTTCGGTTTTCAGTTTTTTTATAAATATATTATAAATTTCAAATTCAATCAATTCATCCAAATCAAATAAATAGCATATAGAACCATTAATTCATTCTATTTCAAAGAATGGAATTAGAAAATCAAATTAAAAATTAATAATTAACTCTAGATTTTAAATCTAAAAAATGAAACAATGAAAGAAAATTAAGAAATAAAAATTACAAAATTGGAAAAAGAAAGAACCGATCGAAGAATACCTAGAGGCTGGAGGTCGGCGTTGTCTGTAGTGAATCGATTCTTCTTGGGCTTCTTCCCAAATGGGCAAATCCCAATGCTTCTTCCGTCTGTCTCCTACTCTCCTTCGATCGGTTCTTTCTTTTTTTCCTTGCGCGGCAAATTAAGGAACATATGGAGACGTGGATTGGGCTTTAAATGTTGTGGGCTTCTTATATACATATATATATGTATAATACTTAAAAAAAATGTGTCCCCCTTAAATACTTGGGTCCGGTCCGGACGGACACTTTGTCCCCTTATTGGGCCGGCCCTGAACACATGAAAGATAACGTCGGGATGACGACTGAGAAAGGCAGTGTTTAACGTCCTCCCGACAATAAAACCGCATTTGACGTGGTGGGCGTTACGCCCATTTCCACTCCTCTAAGGGTGGGGGAGACATTTATCATCAAAGGCATGTAACGGAGCAATATATACACTCCGTAGTCCGTAGGGAGGAGTTGTATGGCATGTGGCATGTCGAATGACTATACATTTTTCTTAATTTAATCGATTCATCGATCCAAAAGGTGGAATCGCCCACCCCAGGCGCCCCCACCCCCTTGCCCGACAGGAATGGTGGAGGAAGTAAATCATGGTGACTCAGTCGGTCAAGAACGCTAGACCCGTGCCCACCGCGCATAAGGAGCCTCCTCACCCTTTATGGGATTTTTGGATAGCTCCCACACTGTCGCTTGCGGGACTCGATCCCTGGTCATCGGTCCAAGATTTCACGCTCTTGACCAACTGAGCTGCCCATGCGGGCAATTTAATCGATTCATCAATTGTGGGTGGTGAGAACATTCCAAGACAGTTAGTTGTTACCAACGACCAAAGTCGTGTTCTAATTTTCCATTCCACCAACTAACTCAAACGTGCAATGGGCATCTCTCTCTAATTCATTTCTTAAACACGTATGTTTAAAAAATAAATGAAAAAAGAATATTTCTAGCACACTTGTAATTAAGGAATCAATTTAATCAAAAATTTAAAATTTTAATTGTGGCTCAAGAAAGATTTTTATATATATACTCTAGCATATCCTTCACGTGCAGACGTGAAATCTATTTTTTTTAAAATTGGGTGGCAGTGAGTTTCAAATTTGCGACTTCTTCATTAACAAGGCTCTGATACGACTATTCGAGTGATACCATGTCAAAAAATTAATGAAATAAAAAACTCAAACTTGTAGTTGTGGCCTAAGATAATTTTTATATACTCTTACATATCTCTATTATAAAATTGAAACTCAATTAGTTTGCAATCAAACTCAATTAACTTTGAAGGCTATAGACTCATCTTTCTTTTGATTTTTGGTGTTGTGAGTTAACCAAGTGAGATTGACCAATTTGTCATATAAAGTATAGATTTACTTTTTAACTAAAAACTTTAATAAATTGATAGAGTTTCACCTTTTTTAATATGAGTTTTAATATGAGAGTAGTCTAATTTTTTAGTATCCAGTGTGGGATACACAGAGAGTTCAAACATCCCGTTCAAGTGTTAAGTAGTTTGGTCTGGAATGAACAAGTTTAACATCTCAAATACACACACAC